AGATTTTTTAAATTATTAATGAATGAGTTTCAGGTTTATTAGAAATCATAAATTCCCTCTTTTCTTCTTTTTCTCATTTATTTATTTAGTCTTTATTCAGTTTGTGTGTTTTGTTTCCAGACGCTGCTTTGAGTTCCTGGACCTGCTGCTGCAGGAGTGGCAGACGGGCTCGTTGGAGAGGTGACGACTGATTCTGCTGCAGCTCTGATTGATCGAACATATGAGACGATCGATCAGGATCCGTGTCGGAGTCAGAGTTAGAAATGTTCATATCTCAGTATAAACTGGGATAAGATTTAAATGGTGTAAAGTACCAAACGCTGCTGCCTGAGGAAATGTGACACCGGCCTGATCAAGGTCTATCGCAGTAGTTTCCATGGCGATGCCAGGGGAATCTCTGTCTGCCTCCAATAGGCTCATTGTGTTTCCGCCCGGCTGCTTCCTGCCGCCTGGGAGAAACCCGAGCTGACCCCCCGGTACCAGGGGGCTCTCTGGGTCTCATCGATCAGTCGCTTGGCGTCGGTCTGAGTCTCGCCTCAATACAAATTTAAAAAAAAAGACAAATTGCCTCATCGGCCAATGAGAAGTTATTGTGAAAGAAAAATAAATTCGAAGTTTTGTGACAGAAGAACGAGTTTGAATGAATTTAATTTGGAAAACAGGAAAACAGAAACTGACAACGAACCTTTTTAATCAAACAATCTTATTATTAGCTTCCTGTCATCCTGTCAAGCTAAGAGCTGCCCCCAGGGGTCAGTAAAGAGTCACTGCATGTTTCCCTCCTCCTGCAGACACGGAGCCGTTCTGACGGAGACGATAAAGAAAGGGATCCACGATGCCGACGCTGAGGCTCGATCTGTGGCTAGAAAGTGAGTCCCACTTTCCACTGTCCCCCTGAGCCGCTGCGTTAAACTATCAATCTCGGTTTGTGAAGCTGCAGCGGCGGCGTGAACGAACGCGAACTCGTCCTGACGCTTGTTTTTCTTTTTCTCAGGTGTTACTGGTCGTTCCACGGTCACTTCAGCCGGGAGGCGGAGCAGCTCTTCCAGGGCCTGGAGTCGTCCTATCAGAAAGCTCTGCAAGCTCACCTGAGGAGCGGAGACAGTCCCATGTCGCTGCCCGCCTCCGACCGCTCCTCCTCCTCTTCCCAGGAGAGCCTCAAGTGAGAAAGCCCCTCCCCCTCTTCTTCTGTCAATTCCAGAAGTTCTGTGTCGTTTGTCTCCTGAAGTGTCTTCATTGTCTCGTTGTCTCCACAGTCGACCTCTGTCTGTGAAAAGCAGCGTTGGAAGCAGCTCAAACAGATGTAAACACTCTTATCGCTCATATTTACGTCAAAGATAAAACGTCTACAAGTTTTCTTCTGACTTTATCATCTCGCGTCTTTCAGCCAAACCTGCCCACGGCTCCAGGACGTCCGCCGCAGCGCCATCTCCCGGCTCGCTCCAACGCTCTCGCAGCGACGTGGATGTCAACGCCGCCGCCACCGCCACGGCTCGCACCAGGATGCCCGCCGTGCCGTCGTCCTCTTCTCCCTTCGGCTCGGCCTCGGCCCTCCCCCCTGGATCCTACGCTTCGCTGGGTGAGACGCCGAAGCTTCATTTCCCTGTCGACCAGCGTCTGTGAAAACTCCGGAGTTTTAGTCTTTGGAGTGTTAGCGAGCAAATTGAAAAATCATGCCGATAATTAGAAGCAGAGCTCAAATCAACTTTTGGATGAATAAGGTTTAATTTAATAAGGTTCTTTCTTGGCTCGTGTCCTATTCCTCCACCAAGTCTTCTGGAAATCTGTTGACAACTGAACAAAGAATTAAAAAAAGTGTGAAGACGCAGCGTCTTTGACGGGGACGATCCGTCTTCTTCTTCGTCTGTTTTGAAGCTGTCCAGGTTGTGGTTGTTTGCCAGCTGAGCTCTGTGCATCACTTTCATCCTCTCGCTCAAAAATAAACATCTAACTTCTTTGAGAAGCTTCCGTGCAGCGGATCAGAACCCATGACCGGGCTCGTGTCCTCATTTATTATTATTTAATTTGTTATTTCATTGTGGGACACTTAATATAATCACTGGGATGTTTGTGCAGTCGAGTCTCGTCCTTATCCAAATATCAGGTGACACATTCACAGCCTGCAGGAAGTCAGATTTACGCCCGTCTCACCCTGTTCACCTCTTCCTCAAACATACCTGGAGACTAACCTCTTGACCCCCGACCCCTAACCCTTGTTGTGTCTCTCCCGGGCCCGCCCACCGGTCAGACGGCTCGTGGTCTGTTAATGCAGACGGTAAGCTGTGCGGGGAATGATCCGTGCCCCCCCTCCCCCCTGCTGTGTTCCTATCCCCTCATCAGCCCTGTAATTGTCTGTGATGGGCGTGTCAGTGCATGGACTGTCTACGCATGGTGTTACCGTGACGTCTCTGTCCATCTCTGTCCAACCGCTGGTTAGAGACGGAGAAAACAAGTGGTTGGAGATCAGTCGTCAGTTTAACAGACGACCGGAGAAACTTACTTAAATGAATCATCGTCTGTGTTTCAGGTTTTTCAGTCATCGTCAGTGACGCTGGTGTTTCTGTCTTTCATCTCTGTCTGTCCTCTGTCTCATGTCTTTCAGTCTCGTGTCTCTGCATGACCAAAGTGTGGAGAGTGTCCTTTCTAAACCAGCAGCAGCGTGTTTGAATATGACGTCTTTTTCCTCGTCCTCTCCTCTTCAGGTCGAGTACGAACCCGCAGGACGAGTTCAGGAAACGGTCCGTCCGTGACAGACAGCCGCGGTCGGAGCCGAGGGAAGGTCGTTTCACAGTCCCAACGTGAGTCGCTCCTGCCTCTTGTGTCTTTTTTTAGATTTCTACGTTCTCGCTCAGTAGATCTGAAGTACTTCCCTCTGTGTTTCAGCCGGCAGTCGCTCAGGTTCTCCGGGTCGACTTCTGAGCTCCACGTACGGCAGACTCCCGAGACCGACGATGGGCTCCGCTGCCGCCAACGCCGCCTCCAGCGGCCTGACCGACAAGAGTCGACCTCGAGGTCACCGCAGCCAGGGCTGCAGCCGAGAGACCAGCCCCACCAGATCAGGCATGGGTGAGGACGGTGGATGAAAACACTGCAACACGGAAACATTTCAAACCGATCGCAACGTCTTCGAACGCAAACGTCTCGTTGAGTTGAAGCACCTGAAGGAAGAGAAGCTGCAGATTAAGAAGTTCATGTGGCGGCTGAAAGGAACGAACATTAAATCAGAAGTTAGAAACTGAGATAGAATCCAGAATAAACCGGGAGGCGAGAGAAGAAGTTTCAGTTGTGACTTAACGAACTGCAGCTTTAGTTACAGTGGCAGCGGAGTCTGAACTAATCTGAGTTGTAATGTGATATTTAAATATATTTACTCGGGCGAAAACTCTTTTAAATTAAAGATGAATCAATCGAGCAAATCATCTTTGCAGATTTTAGTGTCAGAAAGACTTCCTGACACATCTGTAGATTTATCAACATCTGGAGAAGAAGGGGTGACCGCTCTCACTCCTCCTTAAATGTGAGTTCAGACTTTAGTTGTAGTTTCTTCCTGAGGACGACTTGCACACGCTAACACTCCGGGTTCCTGTTCCTCGCACTAACGCTCAACCTGCCGCCACCCGAGTCTCACGCTCCCTCTTCTCCTGCCTGACTAATGTCTAATGCAGAGCTGGATGTGCTACGAGCTAAACTGTCCTCCTGCACTGCTGTCTGTCTGTCTGTCTGTCTGTCTGTCTGTCT